ACACAATCTAACCTCAGCTTCAGACAGATAACATAGAAGACAGTTCCTCTCCCTAAATGCATGCAGTATACAAGATAGAAAGCAATAAACACTTAAAGCAGACAAATGAGATTGGGAAATAAGGAGCATAGCCTAAGAAAAATTATATAATCTTATTTTACCGTAAAATGAAAGTGTCTCCACTTATCTAAATAATATCAGACAGAAGCACTACAAGATGGCAAATTATACACTCACAAATAGAGCAGCTGTAATAGCATATATGGAGCCCAACAATGATTATGCATACAAAATGTAACTCAGCAGTTCAGAGATCAGTAACAAGTAGGTCATAATTCAGTTACAAGTCTGATAAATTTGAAGTCTGAAAAGTCTACATACCCATTCATTTCACCATGGCGTTAAAAAAACCTCGCCATTAATTGTACTTACATTGTAGGCACTTTATTTTTTAATTTCTGCATTATTTAGGTGTGTCATATTCGGATCATAACTACAGGGGGGAAAAAAATCTATGTTTGCTTTTTCTTCAAAAGGCCAAATGGACAGCCTTGTAATTTACTCAGCTAAAATGGTTTTATTTAGCAGGGCTTGTGAATCAACACTTACGGAATCCCTTCTGTGCACACAGCATGTATGTTAATTTATACATACAACACACATACACGGAATCTTCACGGTTCAGAGACCAAGAACTCATTTTATCTTCTCTTAGTCAACTACTACACAAAAATATCAATAATCTCATCAAAAGAAGAATTTGGCCACTAGAGGCAAGAAGCTGAATGAGAATCACAGGTCTACAGGCAGCAGAAATTACCACTCCAGGAGCAGCCAGAAGTGCTGAGAAAAAAAATCATGTTGGTCCTACAGTCAGCTTCTCTTCCATGATTTATACCATTACTTTCCTATGAGATTTCTGGAAGTTCTATGTATATCATGTTTCTACTGAAATCCCTACTTAATTTAAAGGAGTTGCTGTGACACCTCAGATTTGATGGCTTTGGGTTCCTAAGAGAAAAGAAAGGGGAAAAGCGAAAGGGGAAATGGACACAAGGAGTAACCCAGCTACAGATCATGTAGCATTTGGCAATGGCAGATTAAAAAGTCATTAATTATCTCAAAATGAATATTTTAAACAAAATTTTTTCTTCTGATTTAAAGCAGCCACAAACCAGGAAATTCAAGATTAAGAATGGGATCCATTTACAGTAATTTTATTCTAGTTTGGTTTATCAGTGTACTTACCAGGAGCAAATTTCATACTTCATGAAATCTCAAGCAGTCCAGCCAAGATCTGGTGATACGTTGCTATAACAGCAGCTTGGGGTTTGAGAAATGCATTTTCCTTTGCACTCATGGCAACAGGTGACCAAGTGGTAATGACACTATTAACACATTTCACCTTTTTAAGCTCTCCCGCTGGTGTTTTACTTATACTGGTTTATGGAGGAATCATTTCACTTTGGTGTTACAAGTCCCTTGCGCTCTTAGTGGTATTTTTAAGAAAATAAACAAAGAAGGGGAAGGAGACCATCCGCTAGGATATGTGATTTTGGATAAAACCTCCTGATTCCATCAACAAATTCTGTCTTGTATGAAAAAGAACTTGAGAATTTTTAGAACAGATCAGATAAGACTGAGATCAATTTAATTAAGTTTTCCCTTTGGGAATCAGCAATACCTGCTTTGTAATGAGCAGCTACTAAGTACTTGCCACATTTTCTAGCTGATTCTCTAGAAGATCTGGTTGCATTTGTTAGGTAAATATATATATGTATATTAAAAAAAGGGAAAAAAGGAATATTGTCTCAATTCATTATTTGACTGCGTCCTTATGGACTCCTCACTCTAGACAGGCAGGCAAAAGGATCTCTTGTTATATCTGCGGCTGTTTCTATGTCCTTCTCTATGTAGCCTTGTGGATACTGTACTGATTCTTCAGAAAATATTACACAATTAATTGTTTACTTTGTCTTTTCAAAAGCTATCTTTTCTACCATTCTCAATTCTTTTTATCATGTAAATACAAAAGAAATCTTCTGTTTAACTGTAACTTACTAACATCCTACAACTGAGATTTTTTGTTTTACCAAAAACATTTGTCCTTGACAACTTGCTCCCTAGAGTGACGATATGAAAACAAACCTCTTAACTCCATGAAGTTATTTAAAAGAAAAGAAAAAAAAAAAAAAAAAAAAAAAAAAAAAAAAAAAAAAAAAAAAAAAAAAAAAAAAAAAAAAAAAAAAAAAACC